GAGCATCTTTCCCATTTATAAGGGTTTGGTTTAGAAGTGTGGGGGAGTCAGAGCAGTGCCTGACGGGAGTTGCGAGGGGGCTCTAGTTGTGAGGAAGGGGTGTAGGGGGGAGTATGGGGGTATACCCTGCCTTGGGGAGGGAGAGGTGTAGGGGGTACCTCCTGCTGATAAGCAGGCACACAGAGTTAAACAGAAGCCCTGGCTGCATGAGGATTTGGATGGGAGAAGGGAGGGAGGGGAAGTTCCCTGAACCAAAAGAACAAAGGCTTCTCTCTGGACAGCAGGATACTGAGGCTGCGGCCCAAATGACACACTATTCCCTACATAGTGCACTACTTTTAACCAGAGCCCTATAGGGACCTGGTCAAAACTAGTGCACTAAATAGGGAATAGCGCCTGGTGGCATTTGGGACTTGAGCCGAGAGACAAAGAGAGAAGGAGCTTTTCTTTTCATGTTGAATCAAGTCAATGGGATAAAGGTTAGACCAACCGGTCACCCCCCTACAAAGTAGACCTACTAACAGTCGGCTCAAGTCTAGCTAAAATGATACAATGAAGTCATTTCTATGTTGTTCGTTCTCCGCCAACCATGTATTTGACTCACTACTGACATGCATTCTCTTCAGAACAAACTCCTTTTCCCAGTGTGCACCTCTGTACACACCCCTGCTCCCTCTACTTAACACCTCTGTGGGTGTCTCTTAACCTCTCACTTTCCTGATAGGCTCAGAACTGGCCCTAGCCTGTGTATGTACTGTGTCTGTGTGTGTCCTGTCATCGAGCAGACAGCATGGCGTGAGGAGTTCCTCCTCCAGATAAACCAATTAAAACCCAGTGAAACCCTGAGCCACTACCGAGCAGAGATCAAACAAACAGAACATGGCTACCACCCCTCCCTCCGTCTCTTTCTCTTGGCTCATCTCTACCTCCCTCTGTCGCCCCTGTGTCTCTATCCACCCCCCCCCCCCCCTTTTTTTCAATTCAAAGGACTTTATTGGGAAACGTGTGTACATTGCCAAAGCAAGAGAAATAGATAATAAACAAAAGATAAATAAACAATAAAAAATGAACAGTAAACAGACTCACAAACGTTCCAAAGGAATAGAGACATTTCAAATGTCATATTATGGCTATATACAGGTGTTGTAACGATGTGCAAATAGTTAAAGTACAAAAGGGAAAATAAATAAACATAAATATGGGTTGTATTTACAATGGTGATTGTTCTTCACTGGTTGCCCTTTTCTTGTGGTAACAGGTCACACATCTTACTGCTGTGATGGACATTCCCCCCCCTCCATCTCTCTCCCTCCCTCCCTCCCTCCCAGTAGGGCTGCGGTGACGTGACTGTTGGGGGCGTGGCTAATTGGTCTGCTCTGTCCCAGGCAGGGCTCCTGACGTCTTAAGGAGGGTAGTGTGGGGCTGAGAATAGAGGGACGTAATCTCCTTTAAGACCTCACCAGCATCCATCTGTAAGGGCCATCTGGCCGCCAAGACACCACACACAGTGTCTCCTCACAGAGACAGGGACAGAGATAAGGACACAGACAAAGGGCTCTATGGGACCTCATCACCACTGTTCGGACGCACGCGCATACATATACCATGTATACACACCATTGGCCGTTGCTAATTCAGGTATCATTTATGTGGTCCTCTGTAGCTCAATTGGTAGAGCGTGGCGCTTGTAACGCCAGGGTAGTGGGTTTGATCTCCGGGACCACCCATACGTAAAAATGTATGCACACATGACTGTAAGTCGCTTTGGATAAAAGCGTCTGCTAAATGGCATATTATTTATTATTTATGACCATTTCTACAACAGGGCATTGTTCCTGCCACTGTTAAAATAGTGGCTGCATGGTCTTTGATAGATGATATCAACAGGTAATGAGATATGTCTGTGGCCAGTGGTCAGTTTAGTGGTCGGTCTGATGAAAGAGATCTGCAGGCGGAAACAGAGCTGTGGAGCCCACATGGTCCTGATCACTCATACACTGCTCAAAAAAATAAAGGGAACACTAAAATAACACATCCTAGATCTGAATGAATGAAATAATCTTATTAAATAATTTTCTCTTTACATAGTTGAATGTGCTGACAACAAAATCACACAAAACTTATCAATGGAAATCAAATTTATCAACCCATGGAGGTCTGGATTTGGAGTCACCCTCAAAATTGGAAAACCACACTACAGGCTGATCCAACTTTGATGTAATGTCCTTAAAACAAGTCAAAATGAGGCTCAGTAGTGTGTGTGGCCTCCACGTGCCTGTATGACCTCCCTACAACGCCTGGGCATGCTCCTGATGAGGTGGCGGATAGTCTCCTGAGGGATCTCCTCCCAGACCTGGACTAAAGCATCCGCCAACTCCTGGACAGTCTGTGGTGCAACGTGGCGTTGGTGGATGGAGCGAGACATGATGTCCCAGATGTGCTCAATTGGATTCAGGTCTGGGGAACGGGCGGGCCAGTCCATAGCATCAATGCCTTCCTCTTGCAGGAACTGCTGACACACTCCAGCCACATGAGGTCTAGCATTGTCTTGCATTAGGAGGAACCCAGGGCCAACCGCACCAGCATATGGTCTCACAAGGGGTCTGAGGATCTCATCTCGGTACCTAATGGCAGTCAGGCTACCTCTGGCGAGCACATGGAGGGCTGTGCGGCCCCCCAAAGAAATGCCACCCCACACCATGACTGACCCACCGCCAAACCGGTCATGCTGGAGGATGTTGCAGGCAGCAGAACGTCCTCCACGGCGTCTCCAGACTCTGTCACGTCTGTCACGTGCTCAGTGTGAACCTGCTTTCATCTGTGAAGAGCACAGGGCGCCAGTGGCGAATTTGCCAATCTTGGTGTTCTCTGGCAAATGCCAAACGTCCTGCACGGTGTTGGGCTGTAAGCACAACCCCCACCTGTGGACGTCGGGCCCTCATACCACCCTCATGGAGTCTGTTTCTGACCGTTTGAGCAGACACATGCACATTTGTGGCCTGCTGGAGGTCATTTTGCAGGGCTCTGGCAGTGCTCCTCCTGCTCCTCCTTGCACAAAGGCGGAGGTAGCAGTCCTGCTGCTGGGTTGTTGCCCTCCTACGGCCTCCTCCACATCTCCTGATGTACTGGCCTGTCTCCTGGTAGCGCCTCCATGCTCTGGACACTACGCTGACAGACACAGCAAACCTTCTTGCCACAGCTCGCATTGATGTGCCATCCTGGATGAGCTGCACTACCTGAGCCACTTGTGTGGGTTGTAGACCACTAGAGTGAAAGCACCGCCAGCATTCAAAAGTGACCAAAACATCAGCCAGGAAGCATAGGAACTGAGAAGTTGTCTGTGGTCACCACCTGCAAAACCAGTCCTTTATTGGGGGTGTCTTGCTAATTGCCTATAATTTCCACCTGTTGTCTATTCCATTTGCACAACAGCATGTGAAATTTATTGTCAATCAGTGTTGCTTCCTAAGTGGACAGTTTGATTTCACAGAAGTGTGATTGACTTGGAGTTACATTGTGTTGTTTAAGTGTTCCCTTTATTTTTTTGAGCAGTGTATAACACACATATGGCCCTGATCACTAATATAACACACATATGGCCCTGATCACTAATATAACACACATATGGCCCTGATCACTAATATAACACACATATGGCCCTGATCACTAATATAACACACATATGGCCCTGATCACTAATATAACACACATATGGCCCTGATCACTAATATAACACACATATGGCCCTGATCACTAATATAACACACATATGGCCCTGATCAATGGATTGCAACACACACCATGACACACACACAGGCCAGATGATGGACCTGCTAACAGAGAGCTGGGCCATGCTAAGTTGGTCTGTTAGTCCCTGTGGGAGGCCATGCAGATCACTGACCACTGATCAGCTTCACACACACACACTACAGACTAATGAGGAGGGGGGCAGCCACTACACTCTTCGTTTAGTTAATTTAACCTTCAAGCCTAATTCTCCTTGGTAGGGTATTGTCATTGAGATAAAACAGTGAGCTATGTTTGTGGTACTGACAAGGCATTATGCTTACAGCGGCACAAACATGTACAGGACTGAACTTATTGACTTACATAGACCATTTCTATAACTAGGCCATCCTTATTTCAGAAATGTGGCCTATATGCACTGATTCAAGCTATTTTAATGGGACTTATATTGGAGAAATGACAGGGTTAATGCATTGTCCTTTCAGTTAGTCACACCCACACAGAGAACACACCCTCCTCAGGGGACCTTCTGTTAATGTCTCCACCCTCCACAAACCAATCGTGCCAATCTCTCACTAGAGGGGGAGCCCACCACACCCCCCATACACACACCCTGTTATTACCAGCTCAAAATGTCTCAGAGGGCCTCTTAGGGGAACGAGATGACCACCGCCGCCCCTCCGCCCCGACTCTCCGTAGAACACCATACAATTAGTGGGTCCCCATCTCTACACTGCTGCTGTGCTATGGGATAATCAATGCTACTACAGGGCCATCCAGGCACACCCTAGCCCCTGGGTTCTTTCTCTCTCTCTCAAATCGTTCATCTGAGGCCTCTTCAGAGTCAACACTGTCATTATGTAGATGAGGCCTGGTGACCACTTCCTGTGTGTCAAGAGGGAAGAGTGGTTCCCACCACACAGCCTTTGAGGCAGAGGGCTTCTCCTGTTGTCTGTCGCGTCCCTTATGACAAAGCTCCCTCACAGCCAGGGCGTCAGTCAGCGGACCACCACAAAACATATATTTTGAGAGGTTTGTTTTTTTCATACAACCCAGTGAATGTGACTTGACATATATGAACACACTTTCTCTCTGCAATCATTAAGGAGGGACATATTTGGAATGCTTTTATTTAGAGCCATAAAGGAACCAAATATTTCAGCGGTCATACAGGTGTCTTGGACTAATGAGTCTTCATGAGTCATTAATACAATACTCGTTAACAAAACACTTTTGTGTGTGTGCGCGCGCACTCACCTGTGGACATAGTGCAGTTGGTGCACTGAGTCAATGGCCAGCACCATCTCAGCCAGGTAGAATCTTGCCATGTCCTCCGGCAACCTGTCTTCAAACTTACTAAGCAGCGTGAGCAGGTCCCCACCAACATAGTAATCCATCACCAGGTACTGCAGAGAGAGGAGAGAGGAGAGAATAAATATCTCTGACACAATATTAGTATAATAATCATAATAATAACAATACTGTATAATAGTGTACAAGTAACATTCTCTGTATTCCTCTACTGTTCCTTCACTTCCTCCTTCCATCTTCCAACTTCACTTTTATCAGGCCTCTCCCTTTCTGCTTAGTCTCCTTTCTCATCCTGTCATTCTTTCATCCTACTCTATTGCTCCATCCATCACTCCTTAACCATCAACCATCCATCACTCCTTAACCATCAACCATCCATCACTCCTTAACCATCAATCACTCCTTAACCATCAACCATCCATCACTCCTTAACCATCAACCATCCATCACTCCTTAACCATCAACCATCCATCACCCCTTAACCGTCAACCACCATCACTCCTTTACAATCAACCATCCAGCAATCCTTAACGTCAAACCATCCATCACTCCTTAACCGTCAACCATCCATCACTCCTTAACCATCAACCATCCATCACTCCTTAACCGTCAACCATCCATCACTCCTTAACCGTCAACCATCCATCACTCCTTAACCGTCAACCATCCATCACTCCTTAACCGTCAACCATCCATCCACTCCCCGTAACCGCAAACCATCCATCACCTCCTTAACCGTCAACCATCCATCACTCCTTAACCGTCAACCATCCATCACTCCTTAACCGTCAACCATCCATCACTCCTTAACCGTCAACCATCCATCACTCCTTAACCGTCAACCATCCATCACTCCTTAACCGTCAACCATCCATCACTCTTAACATCGACCATCATCACTCCTTAACAATCAATCATCCATCACTTCCTAACCATCACCATCATCACTCCTTAACCGTCAACAATCAATCACTCACTTAACCGTCAACCATCATCACTCCTTAACCATAAACCATCCATCACTCCTAAACGGTCAACCATCCATCACACTCCTTAAACCGTCAACCATCCATCATCATTAAAACAGTAAACAATCCATAACTCCTTACCGTATAACAACCATTCACCCGTAACAGTCACCATCCATTCACTCCTTAACCGTCAACCATCCATCACTCCATAACCGTCAACCATCCATCAACTGCTTTACCGTCAACTGTCATCATATTATTCATTTCATTCCGGCCTCTTCACAGGGTTGCTTGCTAAACGGCACCCTATGCCCTATATATTGCACTACCTTTGACCAGAGCCCTATTCCCTATATATTGCACTACTTTTGACCAGAGCCCTATTCCCTATATATTGCACTACTTTTGACCAGAGCCCTATGCCCTATATATTGAGAGCCCTATGCCCTGGTCAAAAGTAGTGCATTATGAAGGGAATAGAGTGCTGTTTGGGAAGCAACCCTTTAATCAGTGGTCATCAACTGGTCGATCACGATTGACTGGTTGATCTCCAAGCCATTCGTAGTCGATCACCAAACATTTCTATAAAGCCTTGCGTTCCTATTTTTTGTATTTGTTTCGCACTGTTGGCGGTAGGTGCACTTGATTCTGCAGCCTTAGCGCCGGGAAGGCTAAGTGTTCCCATTTTTAACCATTTCATGTGTTTGAAGGTAGAACGCCTCCTATCAGGCAGGCCCAGAGAGAAAATCAAATGCACCAATAGGTCTACCACTGGCCAATCAGATAGCTCAGATCACCGTGTCTGCACAGCTTCCTCGTGCCATAGACTGTAAAAAGAAGCCTGGAACGCACAGCAAAGTTGATACTGTGAGATTTCAAAACTTTTAAAACCATGACTAGGAGAGACTCAACGAATACAGCAAAGAGCTGCTGTTTTATGAGTAAGTTCAGGTTTAAGTTGTTATTCAGCACTGTCAACACTTTGTTCAACAGTTTTATAAGCCATAACATGTGCGTTCTCACTACTTCCACTCACGCTACAACCAGCACTGCAGCTGTAATGAATGAGTAAAGCAAAGTGTTTCCATAAACGTGGCTTATGTCTTTTTTAATATAGATAAATATTTCACTTTCTCTGGTCGTAGGAGTAACAACAGGAATTGGTGCATGAGGCAGAAATAATGCAGTGCGACTTAAGTTTCGCAATCAGCTGAAAGACTGTCCCCTTTTCTCAGTGAAGAGAGGAGGGACGGTGAGTTGGGTGAGAGGCAGCCTCACCGCTGCTACCTCCCTCCCCTCAGACTGGCCATCAGATGCAGATGATGCTCACTCAGCTGTGCCTAACAAGTAATCCAACAAATGATCTATTACCAGTGTGATCATACACCTAACATGTTGAAATATCATTTCTAAATGGTCTGAGAAAAACAACATTGGCAGGGCAATTAAAGCGTAGCCAATATGCAGTGATAATGTATTGGGCCTATAGCTTACTGCACAAACCTCATTGCTACAGAACTTTTTTTTAATTGGTTAATGTTGCATAGGCTTACGTTTAAAAAAATATATATCTGAGCGGTAGATCTCGGCTTGCATTTTGACTCAGAAAAGGGTTGGTAACCACTGCCTTAAAACATACTGAAAATATGAAAAGGGGGAAATGGATGGAGAGGTAGCATTCCAACATGGGTCCATGCATTGCTTCAATTACACATTGACCTAAAGATAGCATGCTGTACCAAATGTCATATCTATAACACTGAGGGGTGTGTCCATGTTAACAGTTGTTATGGGAGTGCCCAGCACCCCTGCCATTTGGGTTACGGCCCAAATGGTACCATATTCCCTATTTAGTGCACTACTTTTGACCAGAGCCCTATTGGCAATAGGTTACCATTCGGGATAAAGAGATACCATTTATTGACACTCATATGAATAGAAGGGAAGTTAGTGGAGATCTTACCAGGAAGTTGTCGTCCTGAAAGGCGTAGTGCAGAGTGGTGATCCACTGGCTGTCCCCGTTCACCAGCACGTCCCGCTCCTCCCGGAAACACGCCGTCTGAGGGAGAGGTCAAAGGGCAACAATTATACAAACAGAATGAACAGAATGTACTGTAGCTACTTTCATTGGTACACACTTTGGTCCATCACACTTTGGCCTCTCATACTTCGGTCCTACCTGTGTGTGTACTGAATTCCTGTGTCTGCTAGCGGAGGAGAACCATAGAAATACAATCTATTGATTCTATCTTTATGTGGGAAACCTCCTTTCAGATCCTTTAGGGGTCAATGAAGTATTTTCAATTCAATTACACTTTCTAACAAACTTATAAAAAAGAGTCAAATTCATATATTTCCATCTGTTTGGACAACCTGTAGCTAGACTATGTCATGGTGTACATTAGTGAGGACATGGGTTCGAGACTAGCGTTTCTTATTGCAGACAGTTTCCCATGTCCAGAGACAGCCAGGCACAGTAGGTAGTTCTGCTCTATGAGGCCGAGGTATGAAAACTGCAGGCCCAGGGGACCACTGGGAACGGCTACACACAGGCGCGCGCACACACACCGACCACTGGGAACGGCTACACACAGGCGCGCGCACACACACCGACCACTGGGAACGGCTACACACAGGCGCGCGCACACACACCGACCACTGGGAACGGCTACACACAGGCGCGCGCACACACACCGACCACTGGGAACGGCTACACACAGGCGCGCGCACACACACCGACCACTGGGAACGGCTACACACAGGCGCGCGCACACACACCGACCACTGTGAACGGCTGCCAATTAAAAGAAAAGCACAGCAGCAACAGATATACTGGGCGGCAGGTAGCCTAGCGGTTAAGAGTGTTGGGCCAGTAAAAAAAAGTTTGCTGGTTCGAAGGCAAATCCCCGCCTTATCTTAGATCATTGGTCACCATAGCAACACCCACCCATAGTATGCGCTCCAGCAGGTATATCTCACTGGTCATCCCCAAAGCCAACACCTCCTTTGGCCGCCATTCCTTCCAGTTCTCTGCTGCAAATGACTGGAACGAACTGCAAAAATCTCTGAAGCTGGAGACACTTATCTCCCTCACTAACTTTAAGCATCAGTTGTCAGAGCAGCTTACCGATCACTGCACCTGTACACAGCCCATCTGTAATTAGCCCACCCAACTACCTCATCCCCATATTGTTATTTACATTGTTATTTATTTTGATCATTTGCACCCCAGTATCTCTATTTGCACATCATCTTCTGCACATCTATCACTCCAGTGTTAATACTAAATTGTAATTATTTTGCACTATGGCCTATTTATTGCCTTACCTCCATAACTTACTACATTTGCACACACTGTATATAGATTTTCTATTGTGTTATTGACTGTACGTTTTGTTTATTCCATATGTAACTCTGTGTTGTTGTTGTTTTTAATCGCACTGCTTTGCTTTATCTTGGCCAGGTCGCAGTTGTAAATGAGAACTTGTTCTCAACTGGCTTACCTGGTTAAATAAAGGTGAAATACAAATAAATAAACATTCTAAAGTCTTAATAAAGTGATGTAATCAAATTCACATCTAATATTCTAAACTTGAAAGACACACTTAAGTGACAATTTCATGAAAATCTTGCATTGCATGTTTAATGCTAACTCAACTTAGCATTCAGCCCTGAGTAGTGCTGTAATGCTATGGTGGTTGTTAGCATTTAGCCCAGCTGTAATGCTATGGTGGTTGTTAGCATTTAGTGCTGCTGTAATGCTGTAACGCTACAGCAGTTGTTAGCATTTAGCCCTGCTGTAATGCTATGGTGGTTGTTAGCATTTAGTGCTGCTGTAATGCTATGGCAGTTGTTAGTAGTTAGCCCTGCTGTAATGGTGTAATGCTATGGCTGTTGTTAGCATTTAGCACTGCTGTAATGCTATGGCTGTTGTTGTTGGTGCTACTAGCCAGTACTCACCTCAGCTCTCTTTAGCATCTCCCACTTGTTGAGGATCTTCATGGCGAACACCTTGTCTGCATTCTTCACCTTAACCACAGCAACCTACAGGACGCAGAGGATAGAGGGAGTTAGAGGGGGAAGGAGAGAGGGAGAGTTTGAGGAGGAGAGAGAACGTTTCCATCCACTATATTAATGACATCTTTCCTGTCATGTTCAATAGGTCAAACCATGGGAAATAATTCCACTCAGTTTCAGAACATTTTCTCCCTACTGAACTTGACCCACTCCTTTTAGATCAGGGAAGGGGAGTGAACGAGAGCACAAGGGAAGTGAGCATCTTTGTGGAATGAAACACGGCCATAGAGTCAGAGGAGAAGAGGAGGGGAAGAGAAAGGAAGGCAGACAGGAAGTGACCTAGGACATAGCTGGGATCTTTCAGTTCAAGGGCCTCAAGTTGGCCATGGTCGCACAGCAGGACAGATACACTCATTACAATGGGTCTGCAGCAAGGACAGGCAAGCTAGCTAGCTAGCTACTGTTAAGTGATAACGTCTAACACAACCCCAGTCAGCCCCCATTGTTAGACCTGAGTGTAGTAAACAAGAGCATTCCTCAAACGTGTTAAGTTGCAGCCGTAGCGGGGACAGACAACTTCAGCTAGCAGGATTCCTCCCTCAAGCCTTCCAGCCAGAGGACACAAGAGAAAGCCTTCTTCACTTCAGCTTCCCCCACAACTCCCTCCTTCACCACGGGAGGAATTTAAACCACCAATCATCCAGTCAATCACACACACACAGAAGCACGTACGTACACACATACACGCAAAGCACACACACATAGGAAACGCACACACGAAAGTACACGCAACACACACACACTAAAAAACACACACTCAGGCTTATTGGAGTCTGAAATGGAGAAGAAGAAGGAGAATGCTAAATGCAACGCAATGATAACATTCCTCCGCTGTTTGGGTTTCCCCTGGTGATCTGATGGGGGGTGGAGGAGGAAGGGGGGACTCTTCTTGGCAGTGTCCATGTGTATAGCGTGTATACCCCCCCATCCCCCTCCCTGTTTTCTTAGCTTTCACCAGCCAGACATGTGTCAGAGCTTGACATGTATGATGGCTGTAGTGATATAAAAGCCATTAAATCAGGAGAGCCCAAACATCATGCACAGACACCTAGATCTCTCTCCCAACGCACAGACAGATGCCGTCTCTCTCCCAGCTGACTATGGGAAGATGAAATAAAAACATCCTGCTCACAAATGTCCTCTTTCACCTCCGTTTTCGATTCACACAGCTTCCCACTCCTTACTCTTCAGTAGGGTTGACAAATTCAATTTTGAGGATTCGCTCCCTGCTTATTACCTTCGGGAATTCTCCAACTGGTATTTCTGAGAAGAAAAAACTGGGAACTTTGGGAAAAAATTTCAGAAATACCGGTAGGAGGATTCCTTAAACAGAGGGTAATAAAGCAGGGAGGGTATCCTCAAAATGTGATTTCTGAAAAACCTGGGAAATTTTCTGGATTTTTGCTAAACTCCTCCCTGGGAAGGGCAGTCAGCAGGAGATGTGAATGGTAGAGAACCTTACAGTTAGTTACACTATGATGGCTTTCCACTGGAATGACATAAGAGGGACCTCTGGCCAGAGACCTTTTAAATCATGATGACCTCATTATCATTAAGTAGATCTAGGCCTACTGTAAACCACTGGAAACTGTTGTTGTGAATAGGCCTGAATAGATACAGTCAACTGAATAGGCCTGTGATTGTAAATACTTTTAAATTGAATTAACTAATTATTTACACAAATCCAGCTACTTACTTTGTTGCTGCTTTTCTAGCTAACTCAGAAGCTTTGATTAGCATGTAGGCTATAGATGCTAGGCTTTATGAAATAAACTGGCAGATCTGGGCCTATTGACACAGCACAGGAGGCACAGAGACTTAGGCCTACTTCAACACAGGAGATACAGTACATCACAGGGACATACATCAGAAATAAAATAAAAAAAGTAGAGGCAATCAACTGTGAGGCTGTAGCCTAGCTAACATCAGAGCCACAGAAATAGGCCAAACACAGGTGGGCACCGCTGCTAGCCTGGCACTGGGCTAGGGACCAGGGCTGGGGCACAACCACTCACCGTGAAATAAAACCCCAATAAAAAGGGTCTGAAACAGGCCATAGGGGCCTCAGCACTGGGCAGAGCTCCAACCAACCTGCTCCACCACACCTGGGTTCAAACACCATTCCAAATCTTTCCAATAATTTGAGCGTTTGGCTCTAGCCTGCCTGGAGTGCCAGAGGGGCGGGGTCTGACGGTTTGGAACTATTCCATTGGTGTATGAAGCCAGGCAAGCTCAATCAACCACAGAAAGTATTTGAAATGATTTCAAATAGTATTTGAACCCAGGTCTGCCAGCAGCACAGCAGCTAGCCTAACAAACTATAATATACAACGTGTCACACCTCATGTAACCTTACACGGCTGAGTTCCTGCTACCATCACTAGCTACCTGCCTAGCTCACCAACATTCCCCAGGTTTGACATTACTCACAATAGAAGACGTAATAAAAACTATAATTCAACTCAGGCCCCCCGAGCCGTAAAGAAGAAAAACAAAGGGTTGGTTTCAGTTCCATTTTTTATAATTATTTTCTTCTTCTTCCACAATGATGGTGAAGAAGAGATGAAAGCATTCTCTTACATGTTGAGTCATGCAGATCGCTTGTAACCTAGTGGCCAATGCCTTGCTGCTGAGATCACATAGAGCAGGGGTAGACAACTCATTTCAGCCGCAGGACAATTTTTGTCAGAGTGGATGGTATGGGGGGCCAGAAACTAATTAGTACACTGCAAATTGAGGCCAAAAAGAGAGATTGTATTTACAATCATTTCATCCCTGTATTACATTGAGGCACAATCACATATCTATTTTCTATTTGTGTGAACACTTAGGAACCGATTTCCTAAATTAAACACATTTTTTTGCTGAATTCCTGATGATTTTACAGTCTTTTTTGACCAATAAATAAAGTCCCAGATTCTTGAGTGAAAATGAACTATATTGTATTTGCAGGTATTGTTCGGTTGTTGTATTTGTCTCTAAGCCCTATGTAGGCTACACTTAAAATGCTTTGTCTTTGCTAATGCCTTGCAAGATTTCTATTGAGGTTCAGACTTCAAATAAACTTCTTGGTGAAATAATAATAATAATAATAATAATATGCCATTTAGCAGACGCTTTTATCCAAAGCGACTTACAGTCATGCGTGCATACATTATTTTTACGTATGGGTGGTCCCGGGGATCGAACCCACTACCTTGGCGTTACAAGCGCCGTGCTCTACCAGCTGAGCTACAGAGGACCACATATAATAAAGTTATATAAAAAGCACAAAAAAGGCTTACCTCTCCAAAGGCTCCTCGTCCAATCACTTTGAGGATCTCAAAGTCCTCTTTGTGCAGGCGCATCTGTTTGACCATGGAGGTGAAGGGTTTGGCTGCAGGAGGAGAGAGATAGAGAGGTTAGCATTCTGGGGACTCATTTATAAATGGTGCGTAGCATAAATATTGTGTAGGCTACGGCTACGCCGGTTTTCATACAAAAGTTGGCATTTATTTCCAAAAAAATATGCGGAGAATACACAAACTCTAAAACAATAATGCATCATCAAGATTAAATCCATAAAACTGAAAAATACATTTTTTGCTGGATATTTAAAATGTGACACAAAGCAAGTGTCACTAGTAGTGATTTCAGGTGTGTGTCTTCCTGGCTGTCACCCCTGTATGCTGAGGGACTGATATAGATCTTATAGTAAACGACAGTGGTCCGGATGTACAGAGGGCAGTGATAGAATTGTCTATTGTTACCCTCACATTTACCCTCTGGGCGGAAATGGACCAGTGTGGGTCACTGATGTGACTCACAAAAGGTAATCTGGAGCCAAAACACAAGCAGCATTTCCCTACTTTGTGGAGGAAGGCCATTCATCCACTTCCTTATTTACTGGATCCTCCAATAAACCTGAGGTAGATTGCCAGTTGGTTGGTTGGCTCACCAGGGTAGGACTACTGTAGGAGCAGCAGATTGTAAAGATCTATTTAATGACTATAGGTCTAGTTGTTAGGATATAGCCTAGGCCTACATATCTGTGCAGCACTTCGCTTAGGTCAACCCTTGTGCACTTGTAAGCAGAATACCTGGGTCACATCAAATTGTAATTCATCCATCCATCCATCCACTGGTTAGTCTTCCAGCCTGGTCCAGTTATCAAAATCAGGGCTGATCCAGAGGTCCCTGGCTCCCCTGTCAGAGGCCCTGCAAAGGTCACAGCCAGCCAGGGGAAGTCCCTTGACCTTCTCACCATCCACAGAGAACAGACCAGACCAAACCACCGCCCCACAACAACCTTTACTGATAGGCTACTACTTCATTACTACAACACTCACAGACAGAGGAAAGGAAAGGCAGGGCTTTCAGTTGCTGTGTGGTAGGATTTGTATTGTAAGAGTGTGCATTTTTCAACAACTGAAAAGAACTTGGGAAAATGGCATTAGTAATTACTGGGTTTTCAACAAATATTTCACAAGAGCCTGACATTTTCCTTATGTCCGGCATCCACATTGTTGGAAGTAGAACGAGCCAACACGTAGCTTGGCACACACTTCTCACTTTACTTGTTGCCATGACTTCACACACAGTCAGCTTGGCTCTGTTCAGGAAAGACATTCTCCAAACGTAGGCCCCTGTGAGAAAGGGAAATGCCTGCTGAAATAAAACAAACATCCAGAGAGCTCAACTTCTCCCAGCCAGCCAGTTAGGCCTCGTTGACATGGCAGCAGGCCTCGTTGACATGGCAGCAGGCCTAGTTGGCATGGCAGCAGGCCTAGTTGGCATGGCAGCAGGCCTATGGGGCGGCAGGTATCTTAGTGGTTAAGAGCGTTGTGCCAGTAACCGAAATGTCGCTGGTTCTAATCCCCGAGCCGACTAGGTGAAAAATCTGTCGATGTGCCCTTGAGCAAGGCACTTAACCCTAATTGCTCCTGTAAGTCGCTCTGGATAAGAGCGTCTGCTAAATGACTAAAATGTAAATGTAGTTGACATGGCAGCAGGCCTAGTTGACATGGTAGCAGGCCTAGTTGACATGGCAGCAGGCCTAGTTGACATGGCAGCAGGCCTAGTTGACATGGTAGCAGGCCTAGTTGACATTTCAGCAGGCCTAGTTGGCATGGCAGGGAAACAGCCAGCCTGCCCTACCTGGCCTGGCTGGCACACAGCTCGGCTAACACACTCCACTTACTGCAGCCTGCAAGGAAACCCCACTGGCAGGTACAAACCACTGGCAGGTACAAACCACTGGCAGGTACAAACCACTGGCAGGTACAAACCACTGGCAGGTACAAACCACTGGCAGGTACCAACCACTGGCAGGTACAAACCACTGGCAGGTACAAACCACTGGCAGGTACAAACCACTGGCAGGTACAAACCACTGGTATACCTGAGAAAGTCATGAAATTGAACACAACTGATCTTAGATCAGCTTCTATGGGCAACTTCCTCCTATAAGTAGGTAGTCGCTCATCAGACCTGCTTCAAATTACCCCAAGTCTGCTACGATGTGTGTGTGTGTGTGTGTGTGTGTGTGTGTGTGTGTGTGTGTGTGTACGCAGGGGGCTACTAAAGGAGAAGGGTACAGGTGGAGAGTAGGGGAGACACTGACTGTGCTTCACTGATGAGTGGGTGAAGTGAGGCAAACATTGGCAAAACCACCAAGATGATGAATGTCTTTTATCTGAAAGCCAGGCCCCGCAAACTAGCCAGGCCCCGCAAACTAGCCAGGCCCCGCAAACTAGCCAGGCCCCGCAAACTAGCCAGGCCCCGCAAACTAGCCAGGCCCCGCAAACTAGCCAGGCCCCGCAAACTAACCAGGCCCCGCAAACTAGCCAGGCCCCGCAAACTAGCCAGGCCCCGCAAACTAACCAGGCCCCGCAAACTAGCCAGGCCCCGCAAACTAACCAGGCCCCGCAAACTAGCCAGGCCCCGTAAACTAGCCAGGCCCCGTAAACTAGCCATGCCCCGTAAACTAGCCATGCCCCGTAAACTAGCCAGGCCCCGCAAACTAGCCAGGCCCCGCAAACTAGCCAGGCCCCGCAAACTAGCCAGGCCCCGCAAACTAGCCAGGCCCCGTAAACTAGCCAGGCCCCGTAAACTAGCCAGGCCCCGCAAACTAGCCAGGCCCCGCAAACTAGCCAGGCCCCGCAAACTAGCCAGGCCCCGCAAACTAGCCAGGCCCCGCAAACTAGCCAGGCCCCGTAAACTAGCCAGGCCCCGTAAACTAGCCAGGCCCCGTAAACTAGCCAGGCCCCGTAAAGCCAGGCCCCGTAAACTAACCAGGCCCCGTAAACTAGCCAGGCCCCGTAAACTAACCAGGCCCCGTAAACTAACCAGGCCCCGTAAACTAACCAGGCCCCGTAAACTAGCCAGGCCCCGTAAACTAGCCAGGCCCCGTAAACTAGCCAGGCCCCGTAAACTAGCCAGGCCCCGCAAACTAGCCAGGCCCCGCAAACTAGCCAGGCCCCGTAAACTAGCCAGGCCCCGCAAACTAGCCAGGCCCCGTAAACTAGCCAGGCCCCGTAAACTAGCCAGGCCCCGTAAACTAGCCAGGCCCCGTAAACTAGCCAGGCCCCGTAAACTAGCCAGGCCCCGTAAACTAGCCAGGCCCTGTAAACTAGCCAGGCCCCGTAAACTAGCCAGGCCCCGTAAACTAGCCAGGCCCCGTAAACTAGCCAGGCCCCGTAAAACTAGCCAGGCCCCGTAAACTAGCCAGGCCCCGTAAACTAGCCAGGCCCTGTAAACTAGCCAGGCCCTGTAAACTAGCCAGGCCCTGTAAACTAGCCAGGCCCTGTAAACTAGCCAGGCCCTGTAAACTAGCCAGGCCCTGTAAACTAGCCAGGCCCTGTAAACTAGCCAGGCCCTGTAAACTAGCCAGGCCCTGTAAACTAGCCAGGCCCTGTAAACTAGCCAGGCCCCGTAAACTAGCCAGGCCCCGTAAACTAGCCAGGCCCCGTAAACTAGCCAGGCCCCGTAAACTAGCCAGGCCCTGTAAACTAGCCAGGCCCTGTAAACTAGCCAGGCCCTGTAAACTAGCCAGGCCCTGTAAACTAGCCAGGCCCTGTAAACTAGCCAGGCCCCGTAAACTAGCCAGGCCCCGCAAACTAGCCAGGCCCCGCAAACTAGCCAGGCCCCGCAAACTAGCCAGGCCCCGCAAACTAGCCAGGCCCCGTAAACTAGCCAGGCCCCGTAAACTAGCCAGGCCCCGTAAACTAGCCAGGCCCTGTAAACTAGCCAGGCCCTGTAAACTAGCCAGGCCCTGTAAACTAGCCAGGCCCTGTAAACTAGCCAGGCCCTGTAAACTAGCCAGGCCCTGTAAACTAGCCAGGCCCTGTAAACTAGCCAGGCCCTGTAAACTAGCCAGGCCCTGTAAACTAGCCAGGCCCTGTAAACTAGCCAGGCCCTGTAAACTAGCCAGGCCCTGTAAACTAGCCAGGCCCTGTAAACTAGCCTACCACTACAAAGGACCTGGAGAGAGAGACTGTAGCCTAACTCCCTTTCCTTAAATCTGACACGCACAGTTGTGCTCATAGTTCAAGTGTGTCTCACTATGAGTGTACAGAGCAAATGCCAGCCCAGGACTGACGATATCAGTTACTTCCTAAGAAATAAATACCAGCAGTCAATTTCCACAGAACTAGCCTACATTCCGGTGCAGCAAGGTTTATTGCAAAGGCAAGCCCACAGCCGCCTTGCGACAGTGTTGATCAGTCTTTGATTTATAAATGGAAACCATTTGTGTGGATGTAACTTCAAAACAAGATCGTTACTAAGCCTAGACACGTGCAGTCTCGTACACACAAACGCACACAGCCCCGCTCAGATTTACCCAAGGATCATGTGCCGATTTGTCCAACAGTGAGGTAATGTACATTGTGACATCACACCCGTTCTACTCCAAGCTTCAGACAAAGGTCTTACAGTTCTACATCTTTCTCTTTACTATCAAACTATACAGCTTGGCCAAACATAGCAACAGTTGCTATGTCAAGGTGTGGCGCAAGTCCATTTGTAGTGCTCTAAACGTGACTATCCAACCAATCCGTGACTTTGTCTGGGTGTCTTTCTTTTTTTCTGATGGTTTTGCGAGAGCTTTCAAACTAAGTGAGTTCACTGTTACTAGAGAGAGACTGACAATGTCACTCACACTCGAAACAGCCAATATGAGTGTTTCGGTTTCATTGGTCAGAAACACCACACGGTCTGTGAGTGACTGTATGCAGCACAACTGGAAAAACATGAGTAGGCCCTACTAATCCATAGACGGACTGGTTTAGCCCAGATGCTACTCATCAGCCAGATCCAGGTCCATTAGAAGAAGTTAGTTTATTATGCACAGACACTACGATGCAGCTGAATGAAATGA